GGGTGACGGTTGGGCGACATTCCACCAGAGGGTGGTTGCAAAGTATACAGGTCATGTACCTCTTACTACCTGAACTGCGTTACTCAACCCTTGTCAATTTTTCGTCGGGCCGAAATGTTACTCCATTAGCTTATTTAATCATCTGTAAAAGCGAGTGGGACGAAGTGATACTGTTTTTCTAAGAAATTTGAGTTTGGCCGAAATGTTACTGGGCCGAAGTGTTACTACATCCTTAAAGCGCCTATGTTAATCCTATAGAATGCTAAGATTTTAGAGTATTACTATATTTGTAACAGGGTTCTTTATACTATCATTAAAAATAATACTTCGTTTGTTGTAAATTATCATTGGTGCCATTTGTTTTGTCTGATGTTGCTTTCTAAAATTTAAAAATATAGGCCTAGTTTTTTTATTTAAGTTTAGGAAATGGTTATGTATTTCTTAGTTCTTGTAAGCTTTTTATGATAACAATATATTTGTTATTAAATTGGTACGTTTGATACTTCCAGAAAGTAATTTGATAATAGTGATGGAAACAATTAGTAATATAATTTATATTTAATTATTAATACACAAGTTATCGTATTACTTTGTAATCATAAAAAAATATAAAAAAACTAATTCTATTAAATTCCTTGCGCACAATGAAAGTGATGTATTTACGTACAAGTATTCAGTGCGAATTCGTGTTTCTTGATTCATAATTCGAAAAATAGGTTTACTACAAAGTACAGAATTGGCTTATATCTTTGACTATTATTAATACAAAAAATCAAGTAAAAAATAGTTAGTCGCTAGCGCATTATGTGGCTGGCTCACACAACTACGTTCTTTTTTAACAAAACACTGGCTACAGAGCTGGTCCATTTAGATGGGATGTCTACTTCAGTATCCAATAGTCAATGTTTGTATACAATTTGAGTCATATTACGTAAAAGATATTAAATCTATCAATTTAATTCCGTAAGCGAATCGATCCCCATTAAATATCCCGAGCTACGTAAAAGGTAAAATGGCTGTTGAGGATTCATTTTAAAGCTCAAGGTCCAAGGACTGTGGGAACAAATTATATCAGAATATCAAAAATATCAGAAGTGTCAAAAACTACCCATGCTCTACACCACAGGCCGTCAGAGATTCACTGTACTGTACTGCTACAGTTTTTCGATAAGCTGTTTTAAACATACCAGCTGAAAACATTACGTATTTGTGTGTTTATTGTTTTTAGTGTTCTGTTTTTGGGTTAAAATGTTAATGCGGTGTTTAAATGTATCGTATTGGGCGAAGACCGCGACTAAATTTGTAAAAAAGTGTGCATTTATTTTAAATTTGTACACATAACTATAAGCAGTAATATCTGCTAAGGACCCCTAGTTGTCTATATTGTATTGACAATATGTTTTAAAAGACTAGCGGCGAACTACGCGATACCCATATCAAAATACAATGGCGATTATAAAGTAATTAGTAGTGGGAGGAATATTTAATTCTATTCAAGACCTTCATATCTACCTTGTTTGGTGTGTATATTAATAAAAAAACAATCCTGAATGATAAAATGCTGTAAGATAATCTATAATTTTAGTACTATCTAAACAAAGCTGGAATATTCTTTCTAGAGCATTCCAGATTAACTAATATCATGCACTTCCATAGTTAATTCATAAAGCTATAAGACCTCCTAGAATATTCCAGATAGTTTTAGAAAACCATGAAATAATGAATAAAATATCATATTTTCATGTACACGCATATTGTAGGCCTACGTTGCCTTGTCCAAAACACCTTTTTTTTGTACCCAAACCATGCGATATAGGATGATTTATATAGGAAGAGGTCATACACAGGTACACTCACCCTATAAGGAATTTGACGTCTTCTCTGTAAAAATGTCTTGCGTAACGATGTCTATTTGGGTGAAGAATTCCGAAAACTCGACCCGGTCGAGACGAAGTATGCAGTTTGAAAAAAAACTTGATATTGCTGAAAGATGTTGAGTGTGATTTATTAGGATATAATAGTATTAAGCAATTGCCAAGTATTACAGGCGTTATTTTAAAACGAATAACACTCATAATTTCTGATGACTTTAAAAGATTCGACTCAAAGATTATGGAAATACTGAAGATGAACATAACAGATCGATATAATCAACATTTCTTGTAAATATCTTGTCATTTTTCAAAAGCTGATCTGGTTTTTAGTGATTTCTACAAATAGCCTTACTCATAGGTTAGTCTCATTAGGTTGTCCATAATAACGATTATAAATTAAAAAAAAAACAACATTATTTCTATTTCTTCTCCTTGGGGGTGTTCTATGACTTTCCTATGTTTCCATAGTTTGCAAATCGGCTCTTTCAATGATTACTATAAGAAATGCAGCACAGTATTAATTCAGTTTTTTTAGTGCATCAATTTATCCAGGCTCTCTTGCTTTTTTCCATTGTAATATTTACGCCAACTCAAATTCAAATAGTAAATATTTTATTTCAACCAAGTCAGTAAATGTTTGTAGCAAACTATTAAATTACCAAACTTATTGACTGTTTACAATAACATAATGTTCTTCTTTGCACTTTTAATTTCTGACAACAGCTGTAGTTTCATAACAAAAAATGTTTGTTTCCCATGTTAATCTTATGGAGAAATTCGTAACTTTAAAGGGCCCTAGGGCCTCACTCCCTAATTATTTCCGTAAAAACCAAGAAAGACTTAAGGAATTTCGGAGCAACTCTCAGTAAATGTTTGCAGTAAAATTGAATATTTTAAAAGTAAACATTTGTAGCCAGAGATCAACTACTCTCTAAAGGTGTGTTACGATTGCAAGGATGGTTTAGTAACGTGTATACGAGATACTGACAGACAAACGGATATACATACGATTTATTTTATATTTTATTTTACGATCTATTTCTATTTAGCCTATTTTATTTTATGATGATAAGATTATACGTGATCCAGAACTGTTTACTTTTTGAACGCAAACCAAATTGCAATTAAGAAAATCAATTTAATTCCGAAATGCTATCCTCATTGAATACAAAACAATTAATTGGCAACCTTGATACAAATTTAATATGTTAACTTGTTGCCAATTGTAGAAACCGTTTGATATCGAAACTTATAGAATATTTGGACGGAATTGAATCATTGAACACACACAATAAACTAAATAAAAGACCAAACTAGGCTAGCTATATTAAGCCAAATCAATTAAATTGCTAAAATGAGCTAATAGGCTAAATCATATTAGTGTGTATATAAGCAAATACTAAGTCTATTACTCAACTTATTTTCCCGTAGAGGACGGGGAGAATTCCCATGCCTCCCTCAACGACTCGCGGGTCAGATCACAGGTTTCAAGCGACGCTATTATCAACCTGCCAGACCCCCGGGTCAGTTTGAATAATCCAAAACTACCCTCTGACCGCGGATCAATTCGAGCACACGCTAATAATGAACGAGCGGCCGACCCTCAGAACAATGGACTGAGGAGGACGGGCAGCAGGTAGGCTGCCGAGCAGCCCAGCCCTACTAGGGGTAGCGTTTCAGGGGGGGACGATTCCGGGGTGTACATTGGGGATGCCTTGCCGGGGAAGACCTTTCCGTTTCTACTTGTTTGAATTAAAATTAATAACATAATTAGTTCATATCAACTAGATTTTGATAAATTACTTGTCAAGCCCTTGGGGGGGAACGATTCCGGTCGCGGACATAGATTTTATACCAGCTGGTTGTCTGGTTTCGTGACGTCACGTTTAGCCTGGGGGGTGATGTTTCCGGGGGCGACCATTCCGGCGACCCGCAAATTAGCTGTTGTCATAAATGTAAAAGAAATAATAGTGCTAGTGCTGCACCCTGTTGGTAATCCTTGTAACTTTAATGCTATTGAACATCACAGAACAGAACCAACTTGTTTAATTGAAACAGCTGTTAAGATTCAATAATTTCATTTCTCATAAGGTTAACATGGGCTTCCAGAAATTCCACGTCAAAAATCGACAAAAACTTGATTTTCAAGGGTTTACTGTTAAATATCTAACTGTCTCATATTCGATGAAATACGTCTAAAACCATCTCATATATGTATAGTATTTGGAAAATAAGTTTCAGGCGGGACAGTGCTATAGTTATTGAGGAGTAGTTGTAATAAAGTGCGTATTTTAGCGTTACCAAGAGAATGACAGATAGACAGACAGACAGACAGACAGACAGACAGACAGAAATTGAGATAAGGTTTGATTCGGTTTCTCTGACCTATGAAATGTAAAAATAACCAAAAAGTTCATTATTCTAAGCAATGTACAGACAAAACTCTAATTTTATTTATATAGATATTCGTTTTTGATAAACTCTAGTGTAATTAAAAGCGTCGAACAGATCATATAAAATGCAGTGTTATATAAGTGGTAAATGAACATAATACTTGTTTCTTAGTGGTAAATAATTATTCATTAAAGTAAATATATTCTCAAGAGACGGAATAAATACTCATAAAGTAAATACTACGGTCGCAACACCAAAAACTTAAATTAACATAAAAATAACTCATAAAATATAAATACAAAAGGGCAAATCAATCACTAATTTTTCCATTGTGAAAGAAATTAAAGGTTAAGACAGGAATGGGAATTTTAAGTCTCCCGTTTCTCCCCGTCTATCTGGGGAATCCGCCGTGGCAGTTTCAGTGTTTCTAGCCCTCTAAAAAACACCCTTATAATCCTCACTAATTGCCGTGGCAGTTTCAGTATGGAGCAACAGTATGGTTTTAGTATGAAATTTATGATCGTAAAACGTCGTGGCAGTTTCGGTGTCCCCGAAATATTAACTGGTAGGGGGACCCCTGAAATATTCAGCAACTCTTGAATGCTATTGACGTTCTGTTGGGTTAAATACTTGAGTTATGTCCATTTTCATAGACACTATTATTGAGAAGTAACAAACTTGTTTTCCATGTATTAGCATAGAATATAGGACACATGACAGTAAACTACTCACAAATAGTGCGAAGTTGAAGAGACAGAGAATGTATTTGGCGAAACAACCGCCACAGCCGAGCCCCATGGTGACGTCACAGGAGCTACCTGGGCCTGGAGACACACCGTGTAAATTAGTAATATCTGTGATTCACAAACATTCAGTGTTAAAGAGGTTGTAGTATAAGAACCCCTTTAGTACCTAATAGTAACAACAGAGATATATACGAACGTTGACAAGAGTACAGACTGCAGGAATGAGAGCCCACGTTTATTCCAGTGATGAGGTAAGTTTTATTCAAAACCATTCGGAGTGTGGAACATCGTTGAGAGATGAGAGAGGAATGAAGATATTAGAGATACTTCTGCGATTATCTAACCTAACCTGATTGGGTAAATTTTGTCATACTTCCTGGTCATATTTATACTACATATCCAGATCACTTTAAAAATATTTAAATAATAATAAATAATTAAATGTTAATTTTTAGATAAAGGGGAACCTGCCATTCATATCATTCTGTGTCAACTACCAGTCCTGTGAAGTCCCAGGGTGCTAAGAAATCCATTTCCGCATTCTGCGTATTCGCCTCCCATAGCCAGAACACCCTCTCTCTGATCTAACAACTTGGCGCAACCGGTATGCCAGTTTTGAAGGATTTTTGCGCGCATCAGGTCTGTACCCCTTTATCATCCTTTAATTCGAAAATTTTAATGATCCCCCCGAAAACGCTATATGGGTCCTTACTCAGTTTCGCAAAACGTTAACTTGAAGCGATTGCAACATGTCAATGGGTTGGTCCACTGGAGTTGTCCTATAGTCTGTATGAATAAACATATATCCTGACTCTCGGGAATGGCCAATAGTTTAAGCACCAGGCTAATCCCAGGGAGAAAAGGGTCAGGACTCAGGTTCCATCATACAGACCATGGCACTGTCTTTTCCTTGCGAGTCACCAGAGTGCTACAACCAGAGCGCATTCCTAGCCTGGAGACAGGGGTCGCGATAAACGGTTTCATTAAATCGACACGATTGCCGATCAGACAATAAATCTGTAGACTGGGTGCTTGAGAGAGATGGGAGATGGGGAAGTGGTGGAGCAGCATTCCAGGAGCAGTCAGCGTCCTTGCTGTGCCGCTGTAGTGGCACCACTGCTATCACCTGTTGTAAGGTCATACTATCAGCAATGTTGCCAACTGGAACTGTCACATAAGGCTGTTTGTGAGGATACTGTCTGAGGAACCTCAGCAATACGATTTCCGCTACAACTGGGCACAATAATAGTGTTAACCAACCTTATAATTACGCATTGGATTATAAGTTTACACTTATATTAACTATGTACAAGAATTTGTTTATAAAATAAGGTTTTGTAAATGAGATAATGAAGCAATTTCTTAAAGATACAATTTATTATATCACGCACTCTTATAATATCTTCAACTATTACCGGGGCAGTTAAAATAAACTTAGATAAGTTATTCGTTCGTCCTTTATGTTTCTCGATAAGAGAAGGATACTTCGTTTCAAATAAGTTACATATTAAAAAAAAAAATTATATCCAACCACGAATAGATGGAGAAACGTTTATCCAAATAACACCCAAGAACTATGAGTTCAAAACCCTCTTGTACATTAATTTGGAAACAACCATAGTCAGTGGAGGGTATTGATGTGTTAAAGAAAAAAAGTATACGTTTGCATCCAGTTTTAGGATGTACAATCTGAACCTGTTTTGAAACGGATACGATATATTGGATATAGCATACGAGATTTAGTACTACTGTTCAGACGTTGCGGGAAATTCTAGCTTCATAACTAAAGTAATTAAATTAACATTTTCATGAACTCAATTGTAAAGTGTATGCTCAGGATTTACTTTAATGATAGGCAAGGAGTATACCTATTTGCCAACTCAGATGTTGTGCCTAAAAGTAAGTCGTACAATAGACAAACGCACCTAAAGAAAGTACCTACATTTCTATTTTTTATGTACACATTTGGAAGATTATTGAACACCAGAAATGTATACCTGATCACAGCAGAGCAAAGCTTGAATTTTGATAGATGTGTGAAAAACAGTGATTGAAATTACTAACAAAGCAGAAGAGTATTTGGCTCTTTTTCAGAAGAAGTCCGCCACTATTTATTTTTGAGTTTTTGTGATTACTTCTCTTCAATAAATAAAAAAACGTGTGAGTAAAGATATAAAACCTAACCTAAACTGTGGTGTTTCCACAGTTTAAATAGTGGCGGCCTTCTTCTGAAAAAGACCCGAATATTTTACCACTAATTTGCTGAAGTAGTTTATAAACGCATATGCCAGGGACCAAGTTGTACGGGGAGGAAGACGCCAAACAAATTAATGTTGGAACCCCTCCACGGTGGGAAAAGCACCTGCGATCCCTCTTGTCAATAGTTAAACCCCCTCGACTGAAAAGTCGATTCTCGAGTCTTTTTCGTCCCCAGAGCCTTTATTGTCCGGAATGTTTAGGATATTACTTTGCATTTTGTGCTGAAGTGTCCCATTCAATTGCTGTTGTAGGGTCTATAGTTGCTTATTACCGGATCTAGAGTGAATTACAGGGAAAAAGTGTTTATACTAGTATTTAAATTCAACAGGAAATATTTAAAACTTGTTCTTAAAACTTAATACACTGATTATACATTAAACATCCTATACTGGTAGTCGAATTGTTAAAAATCTAGCTTCAAATCTGAAGGCTGCTGGTTCAATACCAAGGGGTTAGATACTTTTTTTGTCCCCCTTGACATCCTAGGACGCTAAGTTCTAGCCCGGAACTGTTTTGCACATTACTTGAGGCTAGTCCTAGAGGGTTGCGGCTTCATCACATGGATGAAATCCATTGGTGATTGGCGGGATTTGAACCCGGGACCTCAGGCACCGAAGCCCCGCGCTCTACCACATAAACAGCTCGCCCTCCAGGGATTAGATACTGGACGCAAATATCATTGAGCAAAATATGAATATTGTATTTGATATACCTTCATAAAACGTGTGAAATCTCTATATGAAACTTTATTACTTTTACTACTACACATGGCGTAGGTTTAATTACTTGATTCTAATCTCTTAAGAGGTCAACCATACAGATTTCAGTATCACTGACAAATTTCATATCATAACAAAATAAATAATAACTATGCGTTTGTGTTACATTTCTGTGAGGTATTTCCTTTAGAATTTCAAGACTGAATTCTAATACTTGTTATCACAATAGTTCGGAACAATTATAGAGGTGAAATGTGTATATGAAATTGTATGTTTTACGTATTGTACTGCACATGCAATTGCTCAAGTCTTACGTCTTTAGAGTTTAACTATAAAAATTTTCATTCTATTGCTTCACCGACAAAATTTCGTACTAAAAAAACTAATCATTTCCCGTTTCTGTTTCTTATTGTGAAGTATTTCCTTTACAATTTCAAACCCTAATGTTCATCTCATACAGCACTAAGGGTGATTGCAAGGTAAACTCAATTCATAATTGGAAATTACTCATAAGCTCCTTAACAAGCTTTAACAATCATTTTTCACTTTTCAGAGCGACAATCGCTTTGATGAGAGCTCGTAGATGAAAGTCCAACTGGACTTGTGGTTGGACTACTGATAAGTCCTCTACAGATAAGCGGTGTGGTCCGGTAAGCCGGTTAAGGTTGGCATTCCTGGTGATAATGGGGTTGTTGGGGTAGGAGAGGGAAACCCCACAACTGCGCTAAACATTTACTCTTGGTATTTTCACACTTTTGTGGTTTTAGAAAAAGGGTTGATTGTGTGTAGTAAAGTAGGTCTTATTAAAAGGTACATGAAATAAATATTGATTAATCTTTTGATCAAATTTTACGTTTCTACATTTACCAGTCCGTAAGTTTGGTGTTTGATATGGATTGAGTACAATAAATTAGTTGTAGGCCTAAATCTATATATATAATACGCTAAGCCGATTTTTGTAAACAGAACTCCTCCCTCATTTTTTGGACCGATTTTGATGATTAAAGCGTCAAAAGAATGGCCCTGATCTGTAGTTTTGCAAAGTGTTTTTCATTTTTTGATATCTTTATTAGTTTGGGCAGGATCTTCCATCAAAGTTGGGTTTTCTCCCATAAGATTAACATGGGGGAATCAAAATATTTAATTCGAAACTTTGTCTCCACTAATTTGAGAGAACGGCTGGGAGTAGAAACTTGGTAGAGGTGTCCAAAGAAAGGTCTTGGTCTGCAGATGAGTTATCAAAAGAAAAACGAAATAAATTCGCTTAGAGCTCTGCCCCAGAAGCCTTTAAAGATCCCTCCACAGATTTGTTTTCATTTTGGCCATGTGGATAATACTTTTAGCGAATTTCCCTATAGGAAAGTAGCTATTACCGTAGGTGGCACGGTAAGACCTAGGCCTGGGACCGATTTACTTTTTCATTTTGATGTCCCCAGAAGCCAAAAACACCATTCGTTCAAATCTTTATATATTTTACGGGGGGTTTTATGGGGTATAAAATGGTATTTCTCATTTTTGACCCTCAAAACACAAAATATCCCAATTTATCTCTAGACCTTTTTAAAGAGCTTAAAAAACAAATAATTTAGTATATCAAAGTGTTTTTGTACGGTTATTGGTAACGGAGAAAATTCAAAAAATTTTAAATTTAAAATTCCCATGTTATTCTTATGGAGAATGTTGTAAAATGTTGTAGTTTGCTTGTTTATGGAGATATTTTGGTAAAACTTGGCAAATTTATTTATTTTATACTTAACTATTAATATTTTACTAAAAACCCCACTTTAACAGTTTCCTTGAAGCAGCAAACCTAGGGACTCGTTAAACCTAATGTTATTTAAAAAGATTTAATTGAAAATCAATTCCGACAAATGGAAATTCGCTTTAGTCGGCAGGTTTGCTGCGGCGGGGGTATTTAATGAAACAGCTGTTGATTTTAAAATTGTATTATTCAAACATCACACATTTATTGGGATTTCCTGAATTGACCAAAAGAAGAATTTCCAATGTTATTTTCTGATTTTAAAATTAATTTTTTTCTGTATTATGTCATGTTTTGCAATATAGCTTTCCATTACGAAATCAGTGGAAAATCCTTTT